TATCATGTCTGGCTAGCAGAATGCCCAAATGATCAGGGGTTTGGAAAGAATAGAACTGGAGAATTGATAGCAAGGTATAGGTAAGAGAAAGAGGCATGGGGATGGATATCTCAGAGAGAGAGAGAGAGACTATGTTTTCCATAAAAATGCTTTGTTAATGTCATCCACTTCAGATAAAACTCTAAATAATCAGGCAAACAAATAATTTGCGGATATCAGTCTCTCTCCAACTCCAATGTTTTCTCAGTGGGCTCATGAACGAAATGGCTATGGTTAGGGAGAGTATATTATTGTGCATGTACTGTTTTATAGTAATACTAGTGAGGTAGTAAGTTAGCTTGAAAAAGATTTAATGATTTCACACACATCCAGAAGCAACTGGCCTTATAATATTAAAGCATAAAAAATTAAAGATGTCTATATACTAATGACTCTAGGTTTATATCTCTAAAGTTCTGAATAGATATTTCTCAAAAGAAGACATATAAATGGCCAACAGATATGAAAACATGCTTAATATCACTAATGATCAGGGAAATGCAAACCAAAACCACGATGAGCCATCGTGTGACCCTGGTTAAAATGACTACTATTAAAAAGATAAAAAAAAAAAAAAAGATGTTAATGAGAATATGAGGAAAGGGGAACACTGGTAGACTGTTGTTGGAAAGGAAAGTAACTCAGCCATTCCAGAAACAGCGTGGAGGTTCCTCAAATAACAAAAAATAGAACTACCATACGATCCTGCAATCCAAATGCTGGGTCTATATCCAAAAGGAAGGATAGCAGTTTATCAAAGATGCATCTGCAGGCCCATGTTTATGGAAGCACTATTCACGATAGCTAAGATACGGAATCCATCTACGTGACCATAAAGAAAATGTGATGTACAGATATATGCATAATCTTCAGCCATAAGAAGGAATGAAACCCTGTCATTTGCAGCAACATGGATAGAACTAATGGTTATTATGTTAAGTGAGATAAGCAGATACAGGAAGACAAATATCTCATGAGCTCACTCACGTGTGGGAGCTAAAAGAAGTGGACCTCATGAAGGCAGAGAGTAGAATAGTGTTTATCAGATATTGGGAAGGGTGGGGGTGTGGGGAGGATGAAGAGAAGTTTGTTACTGAGTACAAAATACAGTTATGTAGGAGAAATAAGTACAGTAGGGAAATTACAGTCAACTAAATTTATTGTATATTTCAAAATATCTAGAAGAGAAGAATTGGAATGTTTCCAATACACAGAAAAGATAAATGTTGGGGTGATCTCAATCACCCTTATTTGATCATTACCCATGATATTAACAAATCTCACGTACTTAAAAAATAAGTATTACTATTTTGTGTCAATATAAATCACAAAATATAACTGTGTATATATACATCTCTCCAGACCCTCTACTGGATTCCAGACAGATTTTTACATTGCCTAGATGGTATCTGGATATCTAATAGGCTTCTTAAAACTAGCAAGTTCAAAACTTCATTTTACATTCTCTTCCTCTTATAGTCTTTTCCATCTTAGTCAATGGAAACTCTGTTCTTCTAGTAGATAAGACCCCAAATCTTGGAGTAATCCTTATCTCCCCTCTTTCTGACATATACCACACTTAGATCATCCTCAAAGCCTGTCAAGTATACCTTAGTCCAATCATCTTTATACATTTCTTCTTGCCTCTTCAATAGAATAGTCTCCTAAATATTACCTCTACTCCCCTTTGATCCCCCAGTCTTATCTATTAATCTATAAAATGGCCAGATGGGCTTTGCATGCCAGATCATGTAATTTCTATTTTAAAACTCCTCCAATGGCTTTCCATTTCTACCAGATCCCAAAGACATGACAGACTGTTTCTCCTCTCCATGATCTCCTTGCCCCACTGATTTGGGTTTGAATTTGCTTTTCCTACTTAGCTACTGATATTTCCTCCCACCCTTAGGCTTCTGCCCAGATGCTGTTTGGAGAGATATTGTCTAACCACTGTACCCTCCACCCATCATTTTGTAACTGCAATTGATTGTTTTTGTTCTTAGTACTTATAACCACAGCAGGATGGTGTGGCCTCCTCCTCCACCTCCTTTTCTCTTTCCTTCTTCTTCATCTAGTATTACTATTAGTATTTTGTTGTTGTTTCCTCGCAGAATGCAAATGTCCCAAATGCAGATGTTCTACCTGTTTCACTCAGTGCTGTAGTCGTAGTCCCTAGAATAAGTCCTAGCCCTGGGGTAGGTCATGATGACTGTTGGACAGTAAAATTAATATTTTATTAACAATGTGCTCACACTGTGGTTATACATCATATGATGTTAAAGCTTAAGAAAGTTTTTGTTTTAATTCTAGATTGAAACAAATGACCTCTAAAATGAATGCTTTCTCTGGTTGACTTTGCTTATTTTCAGTCCGAAGATCTCCAGAGACAGACAATTTCTATCCCCCAAATCTGCCCAGTGATGCCTGCATTTCATCCTGTTTCCTGTCTGTCAGCTCTGTGGATCCTCTGACTTCGTATCTCACTTCACTCTCATCCATGCACTGAGATTTTGTTAACCCCTCCTGACGGGTTTTTATCTTATAATTCTACATTTTTTTGGTTTCATAATTTTAGCTATCTTGTTTATTTCTCTCCTTATTTATTTTCTTATTTTCTGGTAAGAAATATTCCCTAGTACCAAGGAAGGTTGAATAATATCTTCTTTCCTCCCACAATATGAGCATTTTGAAGAATTCCTCAATATACCTCATACCAGCCAAAAGTTAGTAGAATGCATTGGATATAATGATATCCATCATGGAATATGATATGTTCCATATTATCATAGCACTTAGGGGAAACAATGTCTTTGCAGACTTCATAGAGAATACATGTTTATCAATTCCCTTTGCTCAGTTTTTAAATAAAGTTATTATTGGCTTATTGATATAAATTTAGGTTTAGAGATGAATTGCAAAGATATTAGAGTCCTCATGTAATAATATGGAATATATGTGTATTCTCTATGAATATATTTAAGAGCATTGTTTTATGTTGACTAAATTTGGTAAAAACTAGTCTGCAAAGACATTGTTTCCCCTAAGTGCTAACTTAATCCAAAATATAGAGTGCTTAGAATAACATACTAGGCTAAAAACCAAGCTCATGCTGGGTTGGAGAGTATATTGCTTGAGGCTGGGACATCTTTCAGTGCCAGAAAGTAACGGTGCTCTAAAAACAAAACAATGGATGTTTGTCAAAGACAAAAGACAGAAGCCAGTTGAAACATTCCCTAATAGCCAAATGTGGACAATTAAAGCAGCAAAATAAATAAAGCAGTCTTGGGTTATAACTCTAAGTATAAAATAAATGTCCATGAGTTCATTCTAATATAAATACATGATGGATTAAAAAAACGGGAACAAGAGAAAAATCTCTGTATAGAAGAATTCTAAATAACATACAAATATATTATTCCTTTCAAGGACGTAAGTGTGACTCCCCACTCCTTAAGTGGTCTATGTTTAGTGGCTTGCTTCCAAAGAGTACAATATGGAAAAGAGGGGGAAATGTATTTTTACAGTACAGAAACCTAGCAACTACTACCTTACTCAGGTAATACAGGTTAACTTAGCGATAATTCGATACTATGCATCTTTGATATGATGTGATGAGGACAGTTCACCTTGTCTCACTCTCCAAAACTCAGGACCATAGTTGAAATGCAAGATGATAGAATCCTGCGACAGAAAAAATATATTTTTTTAAATGAAAATGAAAAATAATGAAAGCATGAGTTTAGTTAACAATAATTCAGGTTTATCGGGTCATTGGCTCTGACAAATGTGCCATAATATCTTAAGAAGTTAACATTAGTTGAAACTGTGTGCAGGATACATGAGAATATATATAATATCTTTGCAATTCAACTCTAAACCTGAATTTATATCAATAAGCCAATAATAATTTTATTTAAAACCTGAACAAAAGGAATTGATGAACACATATTCTCTATTTTATGTACTTAATTTTGATGAAATCATAACTGTATATACTTATGGATACAATATTATGATTTGATATACAGTGTGGAATGCTTAAATCAAACTAATTAACATAATCATCACCTTACTAATTTTTATGGTAACACATTTATGATATACTCTTAGTTGTTTTGAAATGTACCATTGCATTGTGTACATTAGGTGAGACCCCACCAAATATGCTCCCTCCACATGCCCTCCCTCTTCCCCTCCTCTCTCCCTCTCTCCCCTCTTTCTTTCAGGACTATCTTTGTGTTTTATCATTCATATGAATGTATGTTTATATATTGGTTTCATAATAGTATTGAGTGCATTGGATACTTTTTTCCCCATTCTTGAATATTCTCCATTTTTTTTTCTTTTTTTTTTTTGCAGTTTTTAGCCAGGGCTGGGTTTGAACCCACCACCTCCGGCATATGAGACCAGCACCCTACTCCTTTGAGCCACAGGAGCCACCCAATATTCTCTATTTTTAAGACACTTTTTATTTCTGTAAGTCGATCTCTTAAAGACTTCAGACAGACTTAATTTCTTTAAAAGTAAAATCCATGAGCATTTATCACTTTCCTAAACCTCATGGATATCCATTGGTATTACTTCTCAGCTTTGTTTCACAGAATGTTTTAAAACCACATATTAAAGGATGCTGTGAGCTGTAATCTGTAATCACGTGTGTTAGGGTGGAGCTCGTAGTACCAGGTGAGAAAGACTTCTTGACACAAAGATTAGAATAGTTTTAAAGAAAGCATTTTACTTCCCAAGGGTGGGAAGGGCACATCATGAGAGAAAAGGAGAAATGCCAGTCCTGAGAATAAGGGGCTTCAGGTTTTCATGGGTGTAAAGAGACAGAAGCTGATAACAGAAGCAGCTGCGATTTGGCTGTGTTTGTTTTTTTCTTTCTTTTTAATTTTTTCCTCTTCTCTGTGATGCTGGCTTATCAGGGTCCTTAGAATATGCTCTGGCAAGAGCAGAAGTTTATTGCTTCTGGCCTTTTGGCTAAAATCGGGTGTAGTATCTGTTCTTATCATTTCAATATCTCACATGCGCTCTATTCAAGGATATTACATTAAATGGATTTTGGAGCAGGGAGTTGGAATAAGAGCTTGCTCTGTCCACTCCATGCATTGACCTGGACCTGGAATTGCAGCACCTCCAGGAAGGGTGCATCCCTTTCTTAAAAAAGGAAAAAAGAGCGAGCACGATGAGGGGGCACTGTTCACACTCTATCTTCTCAATTCTTTTCATGTGCTACGAAAATAAACTTTCAAATAAAACAATTTAACCACAGGTGGTTAATCTTGAAGAACAACAAGTTAAGCTCCAGGTCATTAATCAAACAAGGGACAATTGTGCATTGTGAGTTTTTCTTCAAAGGAACAATTATGTGTTTTGAGTTGTCTCCTTCTTTTCTATTAGATAGTTTATTTTTCTCTGTAAGTTTATTAGCGGTGCCATTCTTTCAATATGTTAAAGGAGCCAGGTGCGAAGACATCTCCCTACCCCTCCAATCCCCACCATGTTTCCCTTTGTTTTCTCTGGCTAGGAAACCTGAAGGAGGAAGATATAGAAATATGCAGGGTTTAGAGAAAGATGGCCTATCTGCATTCTTTATCTTAAAGCAATGCCTCCCATTTTCTGTGGGATTTCAGTTCTGCACACACCCTGTCTCTCATCAGCCAAAATAGGAAGAAGAATATTACTGTATTGATATGTACCATCCGCCATGTCTGAGACAGCCCAGAGTCAGCTCCTTGTGCTCCATTACTCATTACTCGTGGGAGAAGCACCACTCATGCCTGGCCCATGGTTCTTCATTATAGGCTTCTAATAATACCTGCTGTCCATCAGGCCTTGAAAATCCTTAGCTTCACCAATGGATGTGTATTGCTTCCATCAGAAATGAGATGGGTCTGGCCAAATGACTTTTGCTAAGTGCATCATGAAATTTTAGGTTTCTATGTCTGAACTTGGGAGTAAATCTGTAGAAATTACTCCTATGACCAGCCATGTATTCAATCCAACATTTAAATCACTGATTTGCATAGGTTACACATGTGATTTCAAGAAGGGCACACCTAGAAGCAGGTGTGCAAACCTGAAGCAAGTCTTTTTCTATGGGGGAGCGATGCATGGAGTGACCATTTCCATGACACTACTCTGTCCCCTGGCTTTCCCATTCAGGGTCTTTGAGTGAGTTCCTAAACTGGAGTGAATTTGTTACTTGTGATCCATTTCCTAATCTTCCTGACTGGCTCTAACCCATTTCCACAGGTTAACTTCCTAGAGATTATGCCAACTCTTGTGCAGGAGAACATCTCTCTGTGGACAGCTGTACAACACCCTGTGTGGTTTCTGAAATGAAAAGATGGTTTCCAAGAGCTTGGCCTCTCTGCCTGAAGCACCCCCGTGGAATTATAGCTTGAGAAAAACATTACTGGCTTAGGGTTTAGAATAAACTTCTATGACATATATCAAAAGGATGACAGCAGCATTGCATGACAACAGACAGGCGTTCACACCAGGCTGCTGAGGCCACTTATTCACTCTTCATATCATCCTTTCCAGAGGAGACAGTATCATTATTCACAGTCACCAAAATGCTAATGCTATTTAGGAGTTGAAATAAACACTTGAGATTTATTGTTAGCACTAAAACAATATTACAGTAAAACTATTTTACTTAATCCTCATAACAGTTGTGTGAGGTAGGTGTTAACATCCCCCAGATATAGATAGGAATCGGTCTCAACAAGGTTAAGGAATGTGCATGTGATCACACATAAAGCAGGCAAATATATGGGGATTGAACCCAAATATGTGTTTTTTGACCCCCACCGATAGTCCCTAGTTCTGCTTTATTAAAACAAAGTACCATTTTCACACCCATTCACCATCCCGACTTTGCTCTCCCCTTCTGGCTACCATTCCCAGCCTCTGATAACCATCATTCTACTCTGTCTTCACGAAATCAATTGTTTTAATATTTAGCTCCCACATGTGAATGGGAACACGTCAGATTTGTCTTTCTGTGCTCGACTTACTTCACTGAATGTAACATTTTCTGGTTCCATTTCACTCAACATAACATTCTCCAGTTCCCTGCATGTTGGTTGCACAGGGCAGGATTTCATTCTTTTTATGGCTATACAATATTGCATCATGCATTGGTACATATTTCTTTCAATAAAGAAAGAATGACTGTACCTATTCATCCTCTGACGGACCCTGAGGTTGATTCCAAATTTTTGTTATTGTGACGAGTACTGCAGTAAACATGGGAGTACAGATATCTTTTTGATACATTGATAGTCTTTATTTTGGATATATACCTAGAAGTGGGATTACTGGGTAATATGTAGGTTTATTTTCAGTTTTTTTGAGGAACCTCCATACTGTTTTCCAAGGTGGTTGCACCAACTTACGTTCCCACCCAGTGTCTGAGAGTTCCCCTTTCTCCACATCTTCACCACCATTCATTATTGCCTGTCATTTAGAATGAACAATATTTGATAACACAACAAAGTGACCATAATCTACACTAAGGATACACTTAAAAAAAAAAAAAAGAAAACTACAAGACTGGAATTGGAATGTTCCAAACACAAAGAAATGATAAAGGCTTGAAGAGATGGATACTCCAATTACACTGATTTGATTAATATACACTCTATGCCTGTAATCAAAACATCACATGTACCCTATAAATATAATTAAAAATTTAAAAAAATCCAACGAAACAAATGAAAAAACAACAAAAAAAAATAGGAGAAATTTATCCAGCTATATCCAGACATCTTATTTGTTTGCAAATATTTTTCTTCCTATATAATTTCCATATTTGAGAGTCATGAGTAAAATTTTTGAGAGAAAGGAAGGTTAGCAGATAAAGGAATGCTAAGACAAAAATAGTTTTTTATTATTATTTTCCTAACATGCAAGGTAAATAGTTAAAGGCATTACTTTTATCTATAAAATATGAATTTATGAAGAAAACTGATAATGGATGAAAAGAGTCCATGGAAGGGCATCACAGGTTGAGAATCTGTGTTTGGAGTTCAAGTGCAAATCAAGAGCCCTTTCAGGAAAATGCCCATGTATCATCAGTACAGACTGGAAAATGGGCCAATTTCAAGAACCACTTTGGTATCTGTTTATGATTAAACCTAAAAATAATGTAAACTAAGACTGCTGGGGAGTTCACATAGATAACAGAAAACAGCTGTGAATTTTTAGTCAGAAAAATTGACTGTAGCATAAGCAACAGAAGTTTGTGTTTACTTGCCTGGGAAGAACTGATTCGATATAGTGTTTTTTATTGGCCGGTGACACAGAAATGGCTCTGAAAGGGCTCTTCTCTGAGGGATTTCTAATTTGGCTTATTCAAAAAATGTTTTAAAAGATTTTTGGACATGGATTCTCCCCTCATAAACAATACCTAGAATTCTCTGGTCACTAGATATTATCAAAAGTGTTTAATTTTTTCTTTTGCTCTGCAGAATTAGTTTATAATACAGTATGAGGTAGGGATCTAAATGTTCTTTTCTTACATTGCTGTCCATTAATTTCATTATAATTTATTGAATAGTTATATCCACATTTACTGACCCATAGTGACAGTTTTAATGACTCTGATTTACAGTCCATTTTACTATCCAATGCAGAAGTAAATTTTTCAGTTTTATTCCCTCTAATTTATTTTTCTTGATAAATTTAAAATAATTTATTATTATGTGAATAAGTTTTTTAAATCATTCATAGTGCTCAAAAGCCATGCATATTAAAAGACACATGGTTAAAATTCTCCTCCCCACCCTTCTCTGTCATCTTTCTGGTTCCCATACCATCCTACCCCCACACGCAAGTAAGCATTAATATTTACTTCTTATATGTCCTTTTTTACTCCCCCAAAAACCTATTTGAAAGACACTTTTGTCACTTAACATTCCTTAGAGACATCTTCATTTTAGTAGACAAACATGATCTTTATTCTTTTCTATTATTTGGTTGCATTTTATGAATTTACAATTAATGTTTTGCCAATCTTGTGCTTTCACAAACAATACCAAGTGAGAAAATGTGTACCTATACAAATTAGCATAAGAACAAGTATGTTAGAGGAATCATTTACCGGAAATAGAGTTGGGGGCCAAATAGCACAAACATTTTCAATTTTGATAGATCTTACCAAATTCTTTTCCATATAGGATCATATAAATTTGTACTCTCTCCAGCAATGCACAAGGGCACCTGTGCCTCCACGACATTGTATATTATCCAATGTCTGGATTTTTGCTAATTTGAAAGTGAAAACTGGTATAACATTTACCTCTTTCCTATTACGAGTGACACTAAACATCTGTTCACATTTGTCAATTTTGTTTCTTTTTTTTTTCTAGAAATCTGTTTACAATCTAAGACAACTTTCCCAATTAGTTTCTCAGGTTGTACTGAAAAGTTTTTTTCTAGGAGCTCTTTATAAATAAAGAAAAACCAAAAGACGCTGTGATATGAGTTGAAAATATCTCCCCCAATTTGTTTTTGGCATTTCCTCAGATTTAAAAAATGTGATTAAATTATGTCAATTGTTTCTATGGCTTCTGACATTTGAGTGATAGTTAGGAAGGTTTTCTTTTATTTAAAGTTATTAATATAAAGAAATTTGATGGTTTTATTTTATACTGTTATTATTTCATTTTAAAGTATATGTTATTGATTCTTCTGGAATTATCCTGCTGTGTGACTTCAGGTATAGATCCAACTGTTTTTACCTATTTAAATATGAAATTACGCCACTTCCTATTTCCACTAATTCAATATGCCATCTTGATTTCCACTGGGCCTGACTCTGGGCTTTCTGCTTTAGTCCCCCGGTTCCATTTATGTGCATTCCTATGGTTTTAACTGTTCATGGTTCATAATACATTTGAGCATCTAGTAGTATCTCCCCCATATTGTTTTTATTTATAGATACTTTTCAATGTATTTTTTTCATTCTGTATTATTTATTTTGTGATCAATTCTTTAATTTTTTTTTCCAAGTTGAATTTTTATAACTTCTCATCATTTTCATTTTTTAAATCATAGCTGTGTACATTATTGCATTTATGGGGTTAAATGTGCTGGTTTTATATGCAATTTGAAATACTTACATGAAACTGGTTAACAGAGCCTT